CTGCTACAGCCATTGCCAGTCCATCTGCTGGACGGCCTTACCCCACTTTACGAGCCTGATGTCCCTTCCTTCCTGCAACAGCTGGGCTCACACCCCAACCCCCACACGCACTTACTCCAGGCCGCCCCTCACACACGTCTGGATTAACCTGGCTAGCCGGAGTGGTCTCTCAGAGGGTGGAGAGGCAGACTAGCCACTGAGGAGCCCTGGCGGCTCTGCGGTTGGTTAAACCAACGGTTCTCAACCTTCCTCGTGTGGTGGTGACCCCCACCCATAACATTTTCGTTGCTACTTCATCAGTCATTTTGCTACTGTTAAAGAGTCGTCATACAAATATCTGATATGCAGGATGCATTGGGTGACCCCTGTGAAAGGGTCGATTGGCCCCCAAAGGGGTCACAGCCCACAGGTTGACAGCCGCTGGGTTAAACGCTCACCGAAGGGCTGACCCTTCCATGCCTCCACCCCGTGGCTGAGCAGAAGGGCCTGGCCCTGGCTGTCTGCGCGGTAAAGGCGGCGGCCACCTGTGGGGGGCTCTGCTCGGCCCACTGGGCTGCTCGAGTTGCAGCTTCCTCTGGGCCCCGACAAGAACCAGCAGATTCACCACTGGACGGGCAGGCCAGAACCCCCGCTGAGCCCTCCATCCGAAGTAGCAGAGCCACCAGGCCAGCGAACGACCAGCTGGAACATCTGATGAGCGCCACGTGTGGACACAGGTGGAGGGGCCGCCGCTGGGGCGGGCGAAGCAAAGGCAGGCAGGCTTCTGGCTTGTTGGGCTTCGCGGGGTTCCCTTGGAGGCCTCCTGGTCTCTTCCGTGGTTTGTTCCGCGTTTGACTGCTTGCGACCCTGGGGTCTCCTGGCCCGCCAGGTCTTGAAGGGCGCAGACCACCAGGGCCGCTGGGTGGGTTTGGATGAGCCACTGGCTTTTCGGTGGGCACCTGACCCCTGCGCCACCAGGGCGTGCTAATAAACCATCAGATTCCAAACCCACTCCTCGAGGCGCCTAACCCTGCACCGGAAGAGGCTTCCTTCCTTCCCTTCCAACAGGCTCCTGCGGCTGAGTGGAGGCCCCTCCCTCGGTGAGTTAGGAGGTGACCTTGGGTTATTCTGGAGGTCACCGGCGCCTCTGCCAGCACGCACGTGGCCACGGCGTGAGTGGAGCCAGCCAGCCCGTACCCCCTGCTATGGGGCCGCCTGGGTGGGCTTGGCCCCTGGCAGTCCCGTTTGCAGGCCGACCCGGAGGCACAGGAGACGGACCCCTACCCAGGGGCCCACACTCACACTCACACTCAGGCCACGTGCGCAACGGCACTTCCACGGGCGCCAGGCAGCGCAGCCGCGGCCCCGCACCCCGAGACACCCCCGTCCTGCTCCATGCTGGGGGGCCCGCCATTTCCCATCACAACACGCAAGACCCCGTCTCTTCCCCTAAAGCTCAACAATGGCGCTGCTGCGGGAGCCGCGCCGCCAAGAAAGCACGAGGGCCTTCGGGGGGCTCCAGGGGGCATTCCAGGGGGGCCCTTTCCTAACATCTCCCAGGCTGTTTGGAGGTCCCCTGTTATCCGCTGCTTCCAACAAGGGGTGGGGGGCCTCGGATCTGAGAAAGGCCCGGGGGGCCAGGGTCCCCGCACATAATGTGGGGTGTCAGCCGGGACAGACACCCCTCGAGTCAGCACCCGGAAACCGACCAAGCCCGCTGCGCGGCCCGGGGCGCCGAGGTCTGAACACGGAACGGCCCCCACCCCCACCAGAGTTCCTCCCTAAAAATGCAAACGGCCTAATTAAAAACAAAACAAAACAACTTTGTTGAAAGGCCGCAAAACCCTCCCGTCCACCACCTTCACGGGGTGCGCAGCCCGGACCGCCCCACCACCACCACCTGGGGTGCAAGGCGCAGCGGGTGGGGACGAGTCCCCGGGGGGCTGTGCCCCAGGCCGAGGTCCGAGGTGCAGGGCAGCCTGCCGTGCCCACTCTTACCTGTGCGGACGCCGGGCCGAGCCCGGGGACGCGTGGGGCAGCCGCCATGGTCCGCGTGCGCCACCCACGTGCGCAAAAGCGGTCCCAGGGCCCCACATGGCAGCGAGGGCCCCACCCCCAGGCTTCCCAGACAGCCATCCTTAAGGGGGCCGGCCGGCCGGGCTCCCCATCAGAGCGGCTAGTGGGTTTGAACCCTTAAACAGTTCTTGAGCAGCGGAGCGCTTCAGCATTCAGGCCACCGAGTGCTTGCTGTCTACAAGTCGATTCTGACTTGGCGACCCCGTGGGGCTGGGGGGCTGCTGGACAGAGGGGGCTGGGG